GACGATTCGGACGATTCAGACGACTCGACTGTTGAGACGCTGCTTGTAAACTATCATAGCAGACGTTGGTGATGACCCTTGCCGTGAAGGAGCACGAAGATGAGAACCGAAAGAGGCAGCAAGGATCGATCATCGGTCGTCTTTGCATTCCTCGAAATCACCATCTCGGGAACGAGATGTTGATGCAAGACTACTTCGTAGAGAATCCAACATATCCACCGCACCTCTTCCGGAGAAGGTACCGAATGCGACGATCTCTCTTTGTGAAAATTGTTCAAGCTTGCGAGGCAAATTGTCAGTACTTTACTTAAAGAAGAAATGTCGCGGGCTTGTAGGGATTTAGTGCATATAAAAAACTCGGCCGCTATGCGGGTGATTGCATACGGCGTTCCGGCTGACTATGCCGATGAGTACCTTCGCATTGGTGAAGATACCACAATTGAATCAGTGCGTAGGTTTGCCAAAGGGATCATCTATGTTTGGTCCTAAATATCTTCGGGCACCCAACGAGGATGACATAAAAAAATTGATGGCATCTAATGAGAGGACAGGTTGGCCTCGCATGCTAGGTAGCATTGACTGTATACATTGGAATTGGAAAAATTGCCCGAACGCATGGCAGGGAATGTATTGTGGCAAGTCTCGTGATGCAACAATTGTGCGAGAGGCCGTAGCATCCGAGGATTTATGGATTTGGCATTGCTTTTTTGTATGACGGGTACTCTCAATGATATCAATGTGTTGCAACGGTCTCATTTGTTTGCTAGGCTTGCTAGTGGTGATGCTCCTGCTTGTAACTACACTATCAATGTGCATGAATACACAAATGGGTACTATCTTGCAGATGGTATATACCCTCCTTGATGCACATTTGTCAAGAGCATCAAAGAACTCAAAACTAAGAAATAATTGAATTTGCAAGGATGCAAGAGGCGGCCCGAAAAGACATTGAAAGAGCATTCGGGGTTTTGCAATCTAGGTTTGCCATTGTTCGTGGTCCTGCTTGTTTTTGGGACAAACGGACCTTAAAAAATATCATGACATGTTGTGTTATTCTTTACAATATGATTCTCGAAGATGAGAGAGACATGAACTTGGGTTCTTCTATGACAATGTGGGTAGCCGTGTCAAACCAGCTAGAGACCCTAACTGCATTAGAGCTTTTCTTCACACATACGAGGAGATCGAAAATGCAACACCCACTTTCAGCTTCAGGAGGATCTCGTTGAGCACCATTGGCAAATGGTTGGACAGTAACAAAACTCATTTTTCTATTCAATTTCATTTAATTCATGTGTGATTTGTATTCGAGACAAGTTTTATATTGTATTATTTAGTTTGTGTTGGTGATTTGAATAATTATTTGTAATGTGGATGATTGTTGTATTGTGTTGTGGTATTTCATATTTTTTCCGAATAATTATTTGCAATGTTGATGCTTGTTGTATTTGTGGTGTGGTATTGATATTTGCGGACCAGCGGGAATGGTGCAAGAGTAGATCCCGCAAAGTCGACCTGTAAAAGAGCATATTTCGCGAATATCCTTTTACACGGGTCCATTTTACGGGTCCTAACTCTACGGCCGCCCACGCCGGCCCGCAATACCGTTCTTCCGGAACTGCAAAGGCGTTTTGCTGGTCAGTGTTATACGGAATCTGCTAGAGATGGTCTTACTAATTTTTCCGAGTTGTCGGTTTGACTTGACTAGGCTGCCATTGACTAGATGTATTGACTTTTGATCTGACTTTTTAGAAACAGTTTTACACACTCGAAAAGTTCATACATTTAGAAAAAGTTCATGAATTTAAACAAAAAGTACGTTGGTTACAAAAAAGTTCATGGATTTGAGGAAAAAGTTCACAAAATATGAAAAAAGTTAACACACTTGAAACAAATCCAAAAGTTCATGAATAGATGTTTTTGAATTTAAAAAAATCACAAATTTGAGTAAAAATCATGAATAATACAGTAGAAAAAAATCACGTATTTAAGAAGAAAACCATTCAAGAATTTGAGGGAAAAATTCAAAAAAATCTGATTAAATTGTTAGTGAATTTGAAGAAATTTCTCGAATTTAAGAAAATATCACATTTTTCAAATAAGTCCATGAATTTGACGGGAAAAGTGCAAAAATTCTGGAAAAATCTGGAATTTAAGAAAAAAATTCAAAAAATGAAACGGAAATGCGAATTTAGGAAAGTTTATGAATTTGAAAGAAAACACGTATTTGAGAAAAAAAGAAATAAGGAAAGAGAAAAAGATGGAAATAAAAAACCCGAAGAAAAGCTGGTCTGGAAAACTGAAAAAAGAAAAAAAAACGGTCGAAAGCTTACAGAAGCTTCCTAAAACCAGCCCAAAGACGCGTCTGGAAGCTTCCCGCTCGTCTTACTTGGGCTGACCTGTTAAAATATATCGAAGGAGAATGGGTTGGCGCGAGCGTCGGATGGCCGGCCCAACTGCGCGAGCAGTTCACGCACTCTATCACGTGCGTCCAAACGAGTAGCTTCCGCTGAAGGATTCGCGCAAAATGGGCCGGCCCAGTCTAAAGAGAAATGCCACAAAAAATACAGCGCTCAAGAATAGCCTGCGACAATTCTCAAAAAAAAAAAAGTATAGCCTGCGACACATCGATACGTAGCAGCCTAGCTTGCCACTGCACTAGTGACTGACCATATGTTAAACTACAGCGCTCAAGAATAGGTCTTATGTACAGCGGTAGATTCGTCTTTTAGTCATTCCTTCAAGAAATGAATAACATTTTCTCGAACAAAATTTTAAAACGTGATTTTTGCAACAACAAAAAAAAATGTGAACAATTATTGACCACAGAAAAAAATAATTAAAATCCATTTTTTATAAGTTTCAAGAATTTATTGTGAAAATACGCCGAACAATTTTTAACTACAGAGTGTAATTTTTTTATATATGATGCACAAATTTTAAATATACATTGAACATTTTTGTAATATACATTGAACTATTTTTAACTACAGATTGAATAATTTTGTTATATGCATTGAACATTTTCTGATATACGCTGAACATTTTTTTAAAGTGAACAAAATTTTAAATCCATGACTTTTTTTTGAAATCAGGAACAAATTTTGGAATTCAAACAATTTTCGCAAAAACAAAGCATAAAAGTAAAACTAAAAAGGATAAAATGAAAGAAAAGAAACAGAAAAAGGAAACAAAAGGTTAAAAATGAAACAGAAAAAAACGAAAAAACTACAAAAAAAAAACGGTTCAGGGAACCTAATAGAAGGTTCCCAAAACCAGGTCTCGCTCGAAGTGGGCCGGGCCGTGCGCCTAGTTCGCTCGCTTGGCTTCAGCGAAGCAGCAACGAACGGACGCACGCGGGCGTCATATAGGTTCTGCCCTATCCCCCGCCCTTCGTTTGCTCAGGTGACAGGTCAACTTGTTAACATAGGAAAAAAGAATCTAGAAACATTTGTAAGTTAGAAAAATAAAAATAAAATCATGTTTGATTATTTTTCGAAAAAGTTCATAAAATTGAAAAAAATCATGATTCTAAAAAAGTTCATTGAATTGAATTGTAAGTTAGAAATTGTTATTATTTTTAAAATTTTGAAAATATTTCAGGAATTTTATAAACTTTGTGGATTTTGAAAAAAATCGTCAATTTTAAAACAGCTCATCAATGTTCAGAAAAAAATCTTGAATTGTGATATTTTTGTAAATTCAGAAAATGTCTCTGGATCTAAATATATTCATGCATTTGAAAAAAATTCATGGATTCTAAAAAATGTTTACAAATTTGAAATTTTTCACATTTTTTAATTTAGTAAAAGTTCACTATTTTTAAAAAAGGATCAAAAAAAGTGAAAGATGAAAGGAATGCTGCCCGAGCCTGCTAGCACAGAACAAACAAAATTAAAAAAATACGTAACCCCCCGCCCGGGGTAAAGTCTAACAGATGCATAAGAACTTATTTATAGCCATCATTACCATCCATTGGCCAACACAAAAACTAAACAAAGGACAAAAAAACTCAATTTTTCTGTGGACAACATCAACATTCGTTGACGAGCGTAAAAATAATCAAGGAACAAAATAAACTTGATTTTCTGTGACCTTTTGAAAGGAACCACCAAACACATGTAGAAGAAGCTCGTAAGGCACGCAGGAGGCACACTTAACGATATCAGACAATCGGATATACCCAACGGTGTCCAATAGAAAGCAAACAAAAAAGAGCCAAATCTAAGCAATGTTCATTAATCCGGCAGGCTCACCACACCGCGATTGGACCGTCCAATGTCGAACAGAGAAGGTCGACTAACACCCTAACAATGGATAATGAGCACATGCCCATCCGCTGAACAAACAAAGACGACGGCCAACAAGGCACAACAGTCGGGTGGGATACACAATTGAACCAGGCAAACCGTTGCTATTACCCGACGAGCGAGAAAGCGCACACAAAGCATAAATGCTCGCACGAGGCGTACCAGCTGGGTGGAGTACACAGACGAAGCAAGCACGACGCTCATGTTCACCCGACGACTAAAATGATGGACCAACGCAAAATACGTCGGATGACCAAGGCCTGCGGCCGACATGTCATGGCCCCCCATGTCACTGGGAAGTGATGTATGGTTACGCAACCGGACGGCACGAGGAACACCACACGGGCAGCGAGTGCGTCGCTGACGGATCGGACGGTGTGGAGGCCGCCACCCTAACAACGGGGCGCGGCATGGATGGATCGGACGGCACGGTGGAGCGTCGGAGATGCGGATGCCCCGGGAGGCGGGTACTCGAGCACCCTTGTCGTGCCTAGCTTCGCTTGCTAATAGTTGCAACCGTCTGGCAACTCCGACTAGTTGGCCCATACCTTCCTTTCTACCTTAGCCACCAAGGCTTCCATTCCCGTGACGAAGCAAAAACCTCCTATAAAACACAGCTCTCCCGAACACGGATCAAACGGCTCCGGAAAAACACCCAAAAAAGGCGGCGGAAAGGGGAAAAGGAAGAACATGGACGGGCACGTCGGCCAGTTCTTCGAGTCGGTGAGCTCGATCTTCCGCGGGAGCGACACCCTCCCCGTGTGCGACCGCGACATCATCGCCGTAAGCGCCCCCTGCCCCCCGCCCCTTCCTCGAGAATCCCCATGGACGCCTCTGGCTCGGACCTTCTCTTACTCCGCTGTGTACTCCGCTCTGTTGCTGGCCGCTTGTTTGGGGATCCAAATTTCCGCTGGAGTGTGCGGGGATTCACGAATTAAGCGCGTTTTGAGTGACAGTCCCTGCCGGCTTGTTAGTTCTAGCGCCAAGGGGGAATTGCGTCCCATCATGGGGATTTTGTGTTTGGGCGGAATCGACACTGCTGCGCTTTACTCTTTGTTTATCTAAATCGGTGCCTGTTAAGCTATTTCCGGTGGCGTTAAGGGGTCATGTTCAGCAACCAGACGTTTTGTGATTTTTCTACTGCATTTGATTACTCAATTCCATGTGTCAACCTAGGGCAACCATTATCGGACTGATTGAGCCTGGCTTGATGTCTAATTGCGTTGCGTTTGCGGGCGAATTTCCGGAATGTGCCTGGGTTTACGTAATCAGATGCATTTGGACAACCCGTGCCACCATGCCAGACCTTGATTCTCAGCGGATTGCAGGGAAATTTGGGCGTGGTCATGTGGATTTTCGGGGTCTGCCGAATCCCCAGTTCATGCTGTGCTTTCGTCTATTCAGAGACGAGTCTTGTTATTTCGTTGACTGTGGCGCTAAGCGAACAAACATTATAGGCATTTGATGTTACTTTAACTGATCAATTGATTCTGAGACCAGATCTTTGTCTTCCGTTGAATCCTTTCCACCCTCACACTACTATATATGTGATGTGAAGCTTAGGTGACCATTATTATTTTTGTATGCTTCCATATCCAATTGGATTGTACTTGATCATGCACTCCTTTGTGTTTGTCTAATCTATTATTGTACGCACTTTTGTGTCAGGGTTGTGAGACAGAGGTTGCTGAGGCTGCAAATGAAGAACAGAAGAACGACAGCCTCATGAGACTGTCATGGGCGCTTGTTCACTCTAGGCAGCCCGAGGATGTCAACCGCGGCATTGGAATGCTTGAAGGTGATGCATCCATTCTATATACTGTACTTAACAGTTTTATTATCCAAATTTGTTAATGATGATAGGATTTGACTGACTTGAGTAGTAGTACTTTACTACTTCCAAGATATGAGTGTTCATCGTATTTTCTGAAAATTTCCTTTGAAATAATGCATATGCCTTGGTGAACTAAATAGGAGTCATGTGGTACTTGAGTTATTTGTGTGTTTGTTCCACATGTTCATTTTGATTTTTGTTTCATATTGGTATATTCTGATTCTTCAGTTTTCATCAGTCGAGTGCCTTTTCTTAGAATCTATCACATGAGAACATTTGTTAAGTTGGAGGGCCACACCCACATGGCTGTCATGGCATGTTGAGATGCTGTACATGTCTTGAATTTTGAGTTCTGATCTTCTCTTTTATGTATAGATTCGGAGCATCGACTACTGTATTTGACTGTGCTATTTTTCTCTCTTCTTAAAGTGATAATGCATAAATCTTATCCGTGTTGTTGTGAAGATATAAACTGTCCTGCCGTGTGGATGGATGTCCATTGCAGTGGTCCTATCAGTCTTCTAACAGCCCCGTCACCTGGAAAACCAATAATAGTGTCATTAATATGTGATTTCCATTGCTTAAAGTAAAACATCCTACTTAAATGTAGGCTGTGCTCATCCTAGGCTTCCAGTCTTGCACATTCATTTGAATCAAGCCAGTCCTACTTATTGTAGCATTTTGTTTCTCACTTGACAGTTGTACTTTTCCTATCTGAACTTGCCACTTTCCCTGGGGCAGAACTCATGATTTGTGTTGGCATTTCTCAGCTTCTTTCGGCAAGTCTAACAGTCCGCTACAAACAAGGGAGAAGCTCTATTTGTTGGCTGTTGGACACTACAGAAATGGGGATTACACAAGAAGCCGTGAGCTTCTGGAAAGATGCTTAGAGGTTTGATTACTCAACATATCATTTCATTTATTGCTACCATCATTACCATTATGGACATGACACTTGGTTTTACTTAATTAGGAAAGTTTTCCGGGGTATTAATCAAGGCAATTGAGAGAGTTTAAATGTTATCTTAACATTGTGTTTTTATTTCCTTATTAGAAAGCAAGCCCAAAGTAGGACTCATATATGGGTTTGTTATGACCGGCATAGGGGCTTAGCCCAGTGGGTTATGGCCCAAATATCTTAATTAGGGGCTTAGCCCAATTATCTTATCGTATTAGGATCGTTTGCTTAGGAGTCAAGTAAACCTCTCTATATAAGGAGAGAAGATGTATCAATCTAATCAAGCAAGAAGCAATCATAATTTGCTCGGCTTCCCTTAGGGAGCCGGGAGACCTAAACCCCCCCTCCTGCCTTCGCCGCCGCTGCTCCCGTCGCAAGGACGGCGCCACGCCGCCGGCCGCCGCGCACCAGCCCTCGTCCTTCCCCCTCCTTCCCATACAACCTATGCCCTAGATCTGGTAGGGCCCTAGCTCCTACCAATTTGGTATCCAGAGACTCGGGCTCGATCATGTCTTCGTCAACGCCAACGCCGCCGCTGCCAATCATCACCACCGCACCGCTGACCACCGCCGGTTCCCCATCGCCGCCGGCCCCGGTCACCGTCACCACTGCTGGTTCCCCCACGCCGCCGGCCCCGGTCACCTCCGCTGCGCTGACAACCGCCGTTTTCACGCCGGAAGAAGTCACCAACATCTTGCGGGATCTCGTGACGGCCGTCCAGAGCATCCATCTGTACCTGGCCGGGCCGCCCGCACCTCCGCCGGCTGCGACTACCGCCGCCTACGGCCACCCCGCGCTGCCGTGGCCGTCCCAGGGCGCGCCTGCAATGGGCGGGCCACCGCTGCCGCTGTTCCAGGCGGGGCACCCCAGCGGGTCGCCTCCGTCGCTGCTGCACCTGCCCTGGTACTCGGTACCTGCAGCGATCGCTGGGGCCCATCCGCTCGCCCTAGTGTCGTCCTGGCCGCAGTGGCCCGCGCCGGTTCTCACGGCGCCATTGGCGCCCGCCCCAGCGCCGCAGTGGCCGCAATGGCCCGCGCAGGTACCAGCCGCGCCAACCGCGCCGCCCGCGCCGGTCCAGCTCCCACCGCTGCCGCCCAGCTCCAGACTGGGCCAGTCCACACCGGGAGGCCTCCCGATCCAGCAGGTCCGGTTTCCGCCGTCACCGTCCCAGATCCCGGCCTGGTTAACCGGGACGTCACCACCGCCAGTTTACACGGAGGCCAGGGACCCACCGGTACCCACGCTGCAGTCTGGGGCCTCGTCCGGCTCCGCGGGGGCCTATGACGGTCTCCCCACCGTTGACCGGGTGCCGTCATCATCACTGCTCCGCACCGTCGAGCCGGTCGGCCATGGCGCGCCGACCCAGACGCCGCCACGGTTCGCCAAGATCGACTTCGCCACTTATGACGGCACGGAGGACCCGCTTAACTGGCTCAACCAGTGTGAGCAGTTTTTCCGTGGACAGCGCACGCTCGCGTCGGAGCGCACTTGGCTGGCATCCTACCACCTCCGCGGTGCAGCCCAGACCTGGTACTACGCCCTTGAGCAGGACGAGGGCGGCATGCCCCCTTGGGAGCGCTTCCGCGAGCTCTGCCTCCTTCGTTTTGGGCCCCCGATCCGTGGGAGCCGCCTTCCCTTCACCTCCACGGTTCAGGACTTCGCCGACCGTTTCCAGGCCCTGGCATGCCACGCGTCGGGCGTGACTGCGCAGCAGCGGGCCGACCCCTTTGTCGGTGGACTTCCGGATCACATCCGCGTGGACGTGGAGCTTCAGGGACCCCAGGATATCCAGACGGCCATGTACTACGCCCGCGCGTTCGAGCGCCGCGCGGTGGCCGTCCAGCAGGAGTCACCGTCCCGGGCCACTGGGTCGCTACCCTGGCCAGATCCCGCTCTGGGTCGGCCTGTTCAGGCTTCCGCGGCACCCCTCGCCGCGACCGCGGCGCGCCCGTTCCGCCAGCTCACCTCGGCCGAGCTACTCGAGCGTCGCCGCCAAGGGTTGTGCTTCAACTGCGACGAGCTCTACACGCCCGGCCACGCCTACCCGCGACTCTTCTACCTGGAGGTTGCAGACTACATTCCGGAGGACGCCGTCGCCGCCGACCTTGCCGCCCCAGCTGTCGCGAAGGTGTTTGACGCTGGTTGATCACCTCAAGGAGTTCAACAAGCGCTTCCCCACCTTACAGCTCGAGGACGAGCTGTTTGTGCAGGCGGGGAGAAGTGTTATGACCGGCATAGGGGCTTAGCCTAGTGGGTTATGGCCCAAGTATCTTAATTAGGGGCTTAGCCCAATTATCTTATCATATTAGGATCGTTTGCTTAGGAGTCAAGTAAACCTCTCTATATAAGGAGAGGAGATGTATCAATCTAATCAAGCAAGAAGCAATCATAATTTGCTCGGCTTCCCTTAGGGAGCCGGGAGACCTAAACCCCCCCTCCTGCCTTCGCCGCCGCTGCTCCCGTCGCAAGGACGGCGCCACGCCGCCGGCCGCCGCGCACCAGCCCTCGTCCTTCCCCCTCCTTCCCATACAACCTACGCCCTAGATCTGGTAGGGCCCTAGCTCCTACCAGGGTTATGATCATGTTTACTAATTTTCTGAAAAATGAAGGCATTACGCTGGAAAACATGCCATTAGACAATTACAATATGGAATTACTTCATTTTGTATAAACTGCTACCGAATTGGCTGAATGTAATGTAATTTTCTTTAGTAAAGTTTTGGTAATGATAGTTTGACTTGTTATGTTTAGTCTGTAGCTTTACTTTGTATCCTTTATGGCATGCTCCTGAATTTGAGGCTAAATTGCTAATCAATGTGCACTATCACATGTTCTCCAGGTTCAACCTCACTGGAGGCAAGCTCTTACTTTGGAAAGGCTCCTTGAAGAGAAAACCAAAAGAGGTAGGACATGTCATTGGACATGCAGTGTCCCATCTCATACTATATAGATGAATGCACAGTATTTTGATTTCTGCAATCTCAGACTATTAGATAAAAATAGTGTAAATTGATTTTTAATTTGCTACCATTTACTGTACATGTCAAATACACTACTACAACAACAAAGCCTTTCAGTCCCAAACGTACTGGGGTGGGCTGGAGTTGAAATCCATAAGATCTCGAAATCTAATCATGGCACCCCTGTCCATTGCTAGTTGTTTGGTGATATTTCAGTCCTTCAGGTCTCTCTTCACGGACACATGTCAAATACACTAATCAGGGCAAATGTTCTTTAGTAGCAAATGCTCTTCTAGTATACTGCGAGCATAGGACCTCCCAAGCCCATTGCTGTCAGCGGGCACCCAATAAAGTTGAGAAGGATCAACAAATGATATGTTTATACAAGTCTGTTTCTTCACATGCCACGAAATTAAATGTTGGGCCATGCATCCTCTAATTATTTGACATACGTAACACTTGTGATCCTTTGGAAGAGTTAACATGACTGACTGATGTTTAAATGCAGATGGTATGATTGGCATGGCCATTGTGACTGCCGCCTTTGGACTTGTGGGGCTTGTTGCTGGTGGAATCATAGCTGCTGCTTCATCGTCCAGGAAGAAATGAGGCTCCGGTATGCAGTGAATAAGATGATTAGATGAGCAAGAACCTGATGTAAAGTTGCGTAATCTTACCTTCGCACTCTTGCAACCACGCATGTGCGCACTTATCCTTTTCCTGTCCTGTTTCCGCGGTGGACAACCAACCTTAATCACACTATGAGTTCTCATGTTACGACATTTCCACCGTTGGATCGAAGAATGCATGTTAAGTAATGCTAGATCATAGACTGTTGCCTCGGTTCATATTATTCTGATAATCCATCTTACAAGCATAAGAGGAGCTGCTCCTTGTGCCAACGGAAGATGTTGACGCGAAAATTTCAGAAGAGCATAAGATAATTGTAGAATTATTTTGGTTTGTGCTTTTACAATTTGATGACACAATGTTCCCAAACAAACAACATGGTATGGTCTAGTAGACGTTTCTCGTCTTGTGGTAGTAATGAAAAAAATTCTTTCAATCTTCACTCCTTCCCTACCAAGGCCAACAAGATATCCATGTAATACCGCGAGGTATCACCGACGACGTCGTCTGTTACGGTCGTCTTGAATCTGACCCTGTACTCTTGCTTGATCTTCTCCATGTCGATGTCGGCCCTGGACACGATTGCCCTGGTGAGTGTGTCCTCGTCCGTTCCAAGTCCTAAGATGGAGTACCTGATAACCTGAACAACGAACATACAGTGAGGATTCATCTCATCTCCCACACCACAGGATCAGTGAAAATTCCCACGTGTTTGATTGATCTGCGTGCCGTGACGTACCTCTGCATAGTGCTTTTCAGGAGATGTGAGGCACCAGACAGCAATCTTGAGCATCCTTGCAAACTGGCTGCTGCTGTACTGCTTCATGTCCTGCAACAACAACAGCAGCAACAGCAACAAGAACAAGCGCTTCAGTTCACCAGTTGGATCCGTACTACTATTAGTTAGACAAAAAGAGGTGATAATTAATAAACCTCTTCGATGTCGCTGCCATGTTGTTCCTTGTAGCACCGGAACGTGGCTGCGAGTTGCGACTTGCTCCTGGTGCTCACGATCCGGACGACCTCGCCGCCGTGCGGCTGCTTCTTCCTCCTGACGGCCTCCGCCAGCTGCGCGGCCTCCAGCTTGGCCACGTCCATGTCCACGCTCTCCTCCGCGCACCGGTACGACCTCACCAGGCTCACCAACAGCTGCAACAACCAAGAAGCAAGCACCCAGGAGCCAGGAACATTATACTACATACTACTACTCTGGAATGGATTGCTCGGTTCTTTTCCAGGAGTGGTCACCTTCCTGAGCGGTTCTTGGAACGCGGAGCAGGCGGCGACGTCCTCCTCCAGGGAGGATCCATGGAGGGACCGGTAGGCGCGGCGGACGGCGACGAGGTGTTCCGGCGTGGCGGCGCATGCGGCCTCGATGAGCACCCACGCGTCCCTGTCGTCGCCCCGCCTGCCCAGGGCCTCCCTCACCAGCTTGGCGTCCCTCTCCGCCGGGTCCGTCGCCAGCAGCACCATCGCTTTCTTAATTATATCACCAGAAATGAAATGAGCACAAACGCAGCAGCACATCGTCATCATCCGTGCTGCAGCACAGATCATCACCGTGTAATACAAGCTTCCATTGATGGACTGTGGGTGTGGTGCGAGTACCTGGAAGTGGCCGGAGAGCTCGTCGTGGAGGCGGGTGAGGAGGGACTCCTTGTAGAGGCTGGCGTAGGCCCGGCGGATCTCGGCGCGCTGCGCGGCGGTTCGCCGGCCGAGGATCTCCACCAGGGCCTTCTCGTCCGTGCCCCAGCCTTGAATAAACAGAAATCGACCGGCAAACTTGAGCGCTTGACACAAAACGCGCAGAAAGGAGATGATCAACATGTATGAACGTTGGTACGTTACCTTGCACGGCATTCCTGAGGCTCTCCGCGTCGGCGGCCGGGGACGGCAGGGGCGTCGGGACGGCGATGGTCGCCATCTCCCGCGTGCTAGCTGCTCTCTGCACAGAGGATGATGATTCGATGGAGGGAGCGAAGGAGGAAGGAGTTGCAAGTTTTTCTTGGTAGGTGAGAGAGCGTGCTGGCCGAGGGCGTGCAATAGGGACTCTAGATTGAACGTTTGGGCCCCGCGGTTCAGTTTTTCTTTCACCGTCTCCGATGTTTTGAGTGTGCCTTGGTCTTGTTTTCTTTTGGTAGGATATCTACTGTTTAAAATAAACACAACAACTAGATGTAAGTCGCCTGAAAATAGAATTTGGGTCAGTCGATTTTCGTTCTTCTTCTTTTTTCGAGAAACTTTCAATCTATTCATGTTCAATCATGGCACTACAAAGAACAACATAGGTAACAAAAAATACAACTATGTCCATCGACCACCTAGTGACGACTACAAGCACTAGAGCAAGCGCGCCGCCGTCACCGCCTCTCTCTTGTCGGAGTCGGGCAAACCTTGTTGTAGTAGACAGTCGGAAACTCGTCGTGCTAAAGCCTCATAGGATCAGCGCACTAGAGTAGCAACCAAGCCGATGAAGAAAGTCGTAGATCAGAAGGATCAAATCTGTAAACACATAAACGAAGACGAACGGACACCGGATCCAAATAGATCCACCGAAGACCAGCACCGACTGAATCCCGCAAGATCCGACGGAGACAAACCTTCATACGCCCTCCGACGATGCTTGACGCACCATCGGGGCGGGGATAGAACGTGGACATTATTCCTACCAAGGGACATATCGCCGCCGCCACACAGCCCAACCAAGACGCTGACTCTAACAAGAACGAGAACAGGGTCCCTCCCGCCGGCGAGGGGCCGAGATCCTCCGCACCTCCATGGCCTAGAGACCATAGGAGATGGGACAGACCAGCGACGGCGCCGATGGGAGGAGAAGAGTTATTCTTGTGGAGGAGGAAATAGATCTATATCTTGCGTAGACGTGCGTAATATTTTTGAGGAAGAAACGCCTGAAAGAGAGATAAGCGAGGCAGCCGCCAGAGGGAAGGAAGAAACAATCGCCACTCGCCGAAGAAGTTACCTCGTGATCTATCTTAGGGTGGCAGGCTGCCCCATGATCTATCCTAGTGGCAGGTTGACCCCATGATCTATCTTAGTGGTGTTGGGGGTACGGGTGCAGTTCATCGGAAAAATTGTTCATGGTCGAGGTTAGAGGGATGGCCGGGGGTGACGGCAGCACGGCGGTGGAAGGCGGTTAGGGGGAGCGGGGGCGAGGCTGGCGCGGGCCTCGCCACGGGCGGCGGCAGCAGGCGGTTAGGCCTGTGGTAGATCGTCGGTCCAGAGGTAGAAGATGAACAATGAATTGTTTTGGAGGTTGAAGAAGATTATCTGGCCATCCATCTTGCATCCAACGGCTCGATTTTCAGTCACATGACATCTAGTTAGTCACATAAAAATGATGTATAAAAGAATAGTGTTCTTTTATCGGTTTTCATAAAGTTCTCTTTCTTGTCATGCAAAACACTTTGTCAACCTTACATATGGCCCTCCTCCCTTTCTTCGTTTTGACTTTCCCCCTCACATCTCTGGTATTTTCATCAGTTTTCGTTGAAAATTATCTTAACTGCCCCACCTTTTGTTGACTTGTTAAATAAAATTATATTTTTGATAAGCCAATAAATTTTCATCAAATAAGTGATCATATCAAATAAAATTCTAAAAATTATTTAGCTAGGTAAATCAATCACGTTCTGCTCGGGTAGGATTTGATAAATATTTATTTACACAATCACATTAATATGGGTAGATAAATCACGGGCTAACATAATATTTGTATCTATCAAAGTAAAAAGGATCTCACATATCCCCCCTCACGAAGAAGAGAGTGAAAAATCCCAGACTGGGAAGAAGCAATGCTGTCTTCCAAATCTGAAAGGAACACTACCCGACCAGTCCTCCATTGTCACCCCTCAGGTAAGGCTGTTGAGCAATAAGATCCTAAGAAGATTATCTGCCACCTACAGCTAGCTCTACTAATTAATCAATCAATCAATGCCTTTGATGTTGTCAAAGCAACCAGATCGCACTGATCTCCTCCTTAGTCCTTCACATGCAAGATGGGGCGAACCGATTGTTTTGTCAAAAATAGATCATCTGCCCTTAATACACACTGCAACAAATCTCAAGAAAAATGGAGGAGTTGCATCCGGTGGATGGTGGAACGCACGACCAAAGCGCGTTCCCAAATAGCTCGTTTTCTAATCTAATTATAATCTTTTTCTAATCTAATTATAATCTGCACATGGATGCCACGAGCACGACGGAACATAATACTATATGCGTGTGCTTTCCACGAGGATTGGGAGATGATGGATTGATTGCTAAATGAGAGATGAGAGAGAGGGAGAAACGGAAATCGTGAGTTACTGAGAGCTCTACTATGCGATGAAATATTCAACAGAAAATCGTGTGAAACGTAGCTCAAGGTTGCATTACATGGACACATCCTTACACTCGTCGTGTCCCATCTTCTGTTCTTCGTTTCATTTTTCTTCTTCTTCTTAAATTTTATTAGCGACGTCGACACATGCATGGCAGCGCTGGATTGCTTTCCTAATGAACGGCAGTCCCATGTGTTGCCAATAAATTTAGCGGGGACGTTGAACTAATTAATTCAACGATCGTGCCCACGCCTATATCTGTCCAGCTGTCGTCGTTCGTTGCTTACTGTGCAAGGAAACGTGCAGCACGAGTGGCCATCATGCACACCACCATGAATGCAATTTCTTCCGGTTGTTTTTTTATTAGCGACGCAGGCCAGGCCAGGGCGAATTCGATGCTTCTATGGAACGGCAATCAGCTAGTAATCTCCTGCAACGTTACCCTCTCTGGATTGAATGAATTGTAATCAAGTTGGTACGTAGTAGTAACATGCATGCATGCATGCACGAGAGACGTTGCAGGAAGGATTGATGGGCAAGGCGGTATCTCTACTTCTAATGGAGCAGTTGGTAGTCTCGCTTTCAGGTTTTTTTTCGTCCCACCTACCATGGTTTTTTTTAACCGGTTTTTTTCATCAC